GGGAGTGCTGCAAAGGCAGAAGCAGCAGTAGAATATACAATAATATAATATAATAATATTATAATATAATATACAACAATATAATAATATAATATAATATAATATAATATAATATAATATAATATAATAATATAATATAATATAATAATATAATATAATATAATATAATATAATATAATATAATATAATATAATATAATATAATATAAAATATAATATAATATAATATAATATAATATAATATAATATAGTTGTTGTTTGTTTTATCACACCAACAGTCAACAACAGAGGGAGAGGGAAGCTTCAGAAGTTCCCCTGTCCCATTTTGAGGTTTTTTTTAGCATATTGCGCAATTGTGTCTGCCATTAACGAATCGATTCGTAATTCACAAAATTTCGGAAATTTTGAAATTTTGAAATCTTAAATTTCGGAAGTCCTCAGAATTTCAAAACGCTAGCGCACCGAAGAAACGAAACGAGTTTAGAACCAATTTTTTTCTTGATCGCCCAAGCCTAGTAGTAATACAGTGTTCCCTCACTTATCGCGGGTGTTACGTTCCAGGACCACCCGCGAAAAGTGAAAATCTGCAAAGTAGGGATGCAGGAGCCTGGAAAAGGCAGCCATTGCCATCTTTCTTCCTCACTCATTCACCCATCCCCTTGCTTGCTACTCACCTGGCTGAGTCCTGGTTATGTTGCTGGGATGCGGTCCGGTGAGTGAGGAAGTGAGGGAGGGTGGGTAGTGAGCGAGCCAGGGCAGCAAGAGCAGCGGCGGCGACAGAAGCAGGAGCCTGGCCACCTCTTCCAGGCTCCTGCTTCTGCTGCTGCTTCCACTTTTGTGGCGTTCCCTCCCTCGCTACTCACCAGGCTGGGTCCCATTGGCAGAATCAGGACTTGGCTCAGTGAGTAGCAAGCGAGCGAGGGAGGATGGGTGGGAGAGCGAGGGAGGACTGCAAAGGTGGAAGCAGAAGCAGGAGCTTGGTAGAAGCAGCCAGGCTCCTGTTTCTGCCGCTGCTTCCACCTTTATGGCCCTCCTTTGCTCGCTCACCCGACCACCTTCACTTGCTCACTACTCACCGGGCCACGTCCCGGTGGCAGAACCAGGACTCTGCCTGGTGAGTAGCGAGCAAAGGAGGATGAGTGGGTGAGTGAGGGAGGGCTGCAAAGGCAGAAGCAGCAGTAGAAGCAGGAGCTTGGAAGAGGCAGCCAGGCTCCTGCTTCTGCCACTGCTTCCGCCTTTATGGGCCTCCCTTGCTCGCTCACCCGACCTCCCTCATTCGCTACTCACTGGGCCACGTTCTGGTGGCAGAACCAGGACTCAGCCCGGTGAGTAGCGAGTGAGGGATGTCGGGCGAGCGAGGGAGGTCTGGTGAGCAAAGGAGGGCTGCAAAGGCAGAAGCAGCAGTAGAAGCAGGAGCTTGGAGAAGGCATCCAGGCTCCTGCTTTTACTACTGCTTCCGCCTTTATGGCCCTCCTTTGCTCGCTCACCCGACCACCTTCATTCTCTCACTACTCACCGGGCCACGTCCCAGTGGCAGAACCAGGACTCTGCCTGGTGAGTAGCGAGCAAAGGAGGATGAGTGGGTGAGTGAGGGAGGGCTGCAAAGGCAGAAGCAGCAGTAGAAGCAGGAGCTTGGAAGAGGCAGCCAGGCTCCTGCTTCTGCCACTGCTTCCACCTTTATGGCCCTCCCTTGCTCGCTCACCTGACCTCCCTCGCTTGTTCGCTGTCCCAGTGGCAGAACCAGGACTCGGTCCGGTGAGTAGCGAGCGATGGAGGATGTGTGGGTGAGCAAGGGAGGGCTGCAAAGGCAGAAGCAGCAGTAGAAGCAGGAGCTTGGAAGAGGCATCCAGGCTCCTGCTTCGGCCACTACTTCCGCCTTTATGGCCCTCCCTTGGTCGCTCACCCGACCTCCTTTGCTCGCTCGCTACTCACCGGGTCACGTTCCGGTGGCAGAACCAGGACTCGGCCCTGTGAGTAGCCCACGGTCATATTCGTGTCACGAACTTCAGCCACTCCACCGCCAACGCGGATTATGGCCCTCACTATGGCCCTCACCCTCCCTTTGTCGCATATTCATCGGATTGATGATCACAGCAAACACTTAACACACAACTGTCCGCCCTAGTCACGAAGCCGACCATTATGCACCTCTCTTTGCTATCGTGTCAGCGACGTCGCTTTACTTTGCAACTACTCACGCCACCCCCCACGCTTCGCGTAGCTCGCTGTTCTCTAGTTCCGCATACTCACTACGCACTACGCAAGAATATCCTTACTTCAAGTACTACTCACGTTGCTACACGGGATTCAACGGTCCCGGTGGCAGTAACCAGGACTTCGGTTTATTATTTTTCCCTCCCTCGCTACTCACCAGGCTGGGTCCCATTGGCAGAATCAGGACTTGGCTCAGTGAGTAGCAAGCGAGCGAGGGAGGATGGGTGGGAGAGCGAGGGAGGACTGCAAAGGTGGAAGCAGAAGCAGGAGCTTGGAAGAGGCAGCCAGGCTCCTGCTTCTGCCGCTGCTTCCGCCTTTATGGCCCTCCCTTGCTCGCTCACCCGACCTTCCTCGCTCGCTACTCACCAGGCCATGGTCCGGTGGCAGAACCAAGACTCAGTCCGGTGAGTAGCGAGCAAGGGAGGATGGGTGGGTGAGCAAGGGAGGGCTGCAAAGGCAGAAGCAGCAGTAGAAGCAAAAGGTTGGAAGAGGCAGCCAGGCTCCTGCTTCTGCCACTGCTTCCACCTTTACGGCCCTCCCTTGCTCGTTCACCCGACCTCCCTATCTTGTTCGCTACTCACCGGGCCATGTCCACGGTAGCAGAACCAGGACTCGGTCCGGTGAGTAGCGAGCGAGGGGGTGGGTGAGCGAGTGAGCGGGAAGGATGGCAATGGCGGTAGCAGCTGAAGAAGCAGGAGTCTGGCTGCCCGTGGCAGAACCAGGACTCAGCCCAGTGAGTAGCAAGGAAGGAAAACCGCGAAACAGCAAGTCCGCAAAAAGCGAACCACGAAGTAGAGAGGGAACACTGCAATGGGCAAAGGAAATAGAAACAAGAAGAGCTGGAACTGGAGAATATATATATATATATATATATATATATATATATATCTCCCCCTCCCCCAAAATTATCAATTCTTGCATGCACCAATGAAGCAAGTGATTTCATAACATTCATTTAGAGCAGTGGTTCTCAACCTTCCTAATGCCGTGACCCCTAAATATAGTTCCTCATGTTGTGGTGACCCCCAACCATGGATGGGGCCTCCTGCTCACCTCTCGTGTCCCCCGAAGCCGGGGGGTGCAGGAGGCGAGCGGCAAAGGCCCCCTCCAAGTCTGCAGCCATGGATGGGGCCTCCCGCTCGCCTCTCGCGTCCCCCGAAGCCGGAGGGCGCAGGAGGCGAGTGGGGAAGGCCCCCTCCATGGCTGCAGCCATGGAGGGGGGCTCCCGCTTGCCTCTCGCGTCCCCTGAAGCTGGGGGGCACAGGAGGCGAGCGAGGAAGGCCCCCTCCAAGTCTGCAGCCATGGATGGGACCTCCCGCTCGCCTCTCGCGTCCCCCAAAGGGGGCGCAGGAGGCGAGCGGGGAAGGCCCCCTCCATGGCTGCAGCCATGGAGGGGGCCTCCCAGTCGCCTCTCGCGTCCTCCGAAGCCGGAGGGCGCAGAAGGCGAGCGGGGAAGGCCTCATCCATGGCTGCAGCCATGGAGGGGGCCTCCCAGTCGCCCCTCGCGTCCTCCGAAGCCGGTGGGCGCAGGAGGCGAGCGGGGAAGGCCTCATCCATGGCTGCAGCCATGGAGGGGGCCTCCCAGTCGCCTCTCGCGTCCTCCGAAGCCGGGGGCGCAGGAGGCGAGTGGGGAAGGCCCCCTCCAAGTCTGCAGCCATGGATGGGACCTCCCGCTTGCCTCTCACGTCCCCCGAAGCCGGAGGGCGCAGGAGGCGAGCAGGGAAGGCCCACTCCAAGTCTGCAGCCATGGATGGGGCCTCCCGCTCGCCTCTCGCGTCCCCCGAAGCTGGAGGGCGCAGTAGGCGAGCGGGGAAGGTCCCCTCCATGGCCGCGGCTGTTTGGCTCACATAGGAGCCGGCAGCCATTTTGGGGGGGCGGGACCAACCGAGGCGGCTTCGCGACCCCCGGAAAATGTCCCAGCGGCCCCCTTGGGGGTCGCGACCCCCAGGTTGAGAACCGCTGATTTACAGTATCCAGATATTCCTATACTACCTCTTTACTAGGGCTGGGCGGTTTCGTTTCGTTAATTCGTAATTCGTTAATAATTCGTTAATTTTTTCAATTACAAAATGATAACGAACCATTCTGGAGCAATTATTTAAAAAAACGAATTTTCAAAAACGTTTTGTAAATGCTTCGTATTTCGATATTGTATTCGTTTCGTTATTGTTTTGAGGTCGTTTCGTTATTATTTCCGCATGTCTGGGCCAGTTTTATGGTTTAATTAGTGAAAAAAAATTATAATATCACACCAACAGTCAACAACAGAGGGAGAGGGAAGCTTCAGAAGGTTTTTGGAGGTTTTTTAGCATATTTCGCGGTTGCGTCCGCCATTAACGAATCGATTCGTTATTGTTTCGGAAATCGATTCGTTATTTTTTACCATTTACGAAATTTCGTAAATATCGAACTTTTTAAAAGGAAAATTTTGTAATTATTTTAAATATCGAAACAAAAAAAACACCCAAATACAAATCGATTTTAGAAACAAATTTTTCCGTTGTTACCCAGGCCTACCCTTTACCTCTTCTGTGCTGCATTTCCTTTTGTTGTTGTTTTTCCAACACATTCATTTATTTCTTTGCGATGATTTAAATACTTCTTAGATCCCAATATGTGAAAAAGCATCAAAACATACAAAGAGATACGATCCACAGAATGTCTGCAAATCATCTTGGGGTTCAAGGAAGTGATGTTGGGTTGGATAGAAGAGGGAAAGGGTGCTCAGATTAGTCTTCCTTAAAATACGTTTGCTTCTGTCTAATGTGTTTGTGTGTCTATCCACAGGTCAGGTTATCCTGTACGAAGCCATGCTTGGATTTTAATAGCCATGTTCCGACTTGCCATGGATTTCACCTCTTGTGATTCTTTGGGCCAAGGCCATAGACCGCCCTTGTTGCAAAGACCCACGCCCCACTATGGATTGCCTCACGGCCCGTTGTGGAGTCTTAGACCTGGACAACAAGCGAGGAACTATCTCTTACCCTCTCTAGAAAAATCTAGCGGGCAACCGTCCAAAACATATCATTCCAAAAGGCTACACAAAGCCGCGGACCTACTCTGGAAAAGCGGGCGGCCCGAACGCTTGCCCTTGGTCAAATGGGGACCTTTCCTGCTGGCGTCCGGGAGAACAGATTCCTTGAAACGGAGGCGGAGGTATCTCCGGGCCATTGGCAAGCCCACCATGGAGCCGGAGGTGATTGTCTGGGGATCTACCAGTCCGTTGGATCCCCTCGAAAGCAGCACCTTCCCAGGGATTTATGGGAGCACCACCGTCTCGGTTTTGCAACGCACCACCAGGACCACCACCACCGCGACCACATCCACCACCACGTTCACCACCACCACTGCTTCCACCACAGTCCAGCCCAAAGGGCCTGGCCCTGGATTTGGCACCCCCAGGAACAACCCGGGTGGGCTTAGCACAATGAGACCGCCATCCACTTCTGACGGCAACCGGAAAGAGGTCGACGCTTCACCGCCTAAGATGCCAGGAGACAATTCAGGTACATTGAGATGGGTATTCGATGGGGGCTTCCTTGAAGGTGTGACATGCCTGTTTCTAGCTATGTCAGTCCTGGGAGAGAAAAAATATAGGCCATTCTTGCATGCACAGTTGTAGCGAGGGAGACTATTTCTTTATTTAAGAAAAACCTCTTAACTCTTATAATGATTCAGTTTCTTCTTTTATATTAGCTGGGACTTTCTGTGTGCTTTTAACCTTTATACAGGCAATGAGACACTCTTCCGTATAACAAAGTAACACAGTTTATTTATAACTTCTGGCTCCAACGCTTGTGGTTACATTTGTGTTTTGTTGCAATCTTGGGGCTTACAGTCAGTATAATATACTTGGTTTACTTTTCTGAAATAGACTTTCAATGTTTCACGTTCACAAACATGTTACTTGCTTTACACACTCTTGACTGAAGTTATTTTCTGACTAAAGCACCACTGGCTTTCTTTTTATTCCTAAAACTTGAGCTCTATTTAACTAACTGCTTCTATATATCAGAAGTCTTTAACACATCTTCATAACTGCTTATTTCTAACAGGAGTTCCTAACTCTTTTCTCTCACAGAAGTTCCTAACCGTCTCTCACAAACAGGAATCCCTAACTCTCTTCACAAACAGCAATTCCTAACTCTCTCTTTTGACTCTCTGCCTATTTTTAAACTTTGGCTCCGCCCCTTTGGAATGTTCAGCTCTGCTCTTCCCAACTGTCATTTTGGCCTAGCAACCTTTTCAAATTCTGGGCCTATGCTAATCTGCATATGACCAATCGGCTTCCATATGCAAATGAATCCTATCTCTGCTGTTACTACCCTGTCTGTGCCTATTCTTCCCTATCTGCCATATGTAAACATAGAGCTCTACACCAAAAATTTAACATAGAGTAGCAATTTCGCTACAACAGTATTCCCTCGCTACTTCGCGGTTTTCTTTTCGTGGACTCGCTGATTCGCGGTATTTCAATATATATAGTAATGTATGTATTTACACTGGAGCTGCGTCTCTCCTTGCCACGTGCATCGTGGGAGATGCCAGCCTGGGAAGCCGCCTCCTGAAGGCATCCCACTCATCCAACTCCTCCTCCTCGCCTGCTTCTTCCTCCTCCTCCTCTTCTTTACTCTCCCATGCAGATGGGAGCTCTTGCGGGTTCAAAGCAGGAGAAGGAGGGAAGCATGATGGACAGGTCTAGAGAGGTGAATGGCAGATGGGTCAAGAGGGAGGGAGGAAGGAGTGGGGACCCGTGTGATATCACAAGACCAACTCGGTGCAGGGAAAGAAAGGCGGGAGAGGCGTCAAGCTCCCTAAGGGTGTCAGGATATACTCAGTGCATGAATACACACCAAAAACAAAAGTAGGACTTGTGCAGCAGCCGCTTGAGATTTATTTATCGTGTCATCAGCAACCATACCATTGTATTACATTTCTAACAGAACAAAACAAACAAACAATAAAAAAACACAAATTTTGCAAGCTTGGTAGTTGGTTAAATGTCCTTTGACCAGTATCTGGCCACGGAGTGCCTCTGGTGTTGCCGCAAGAAGGTCCTCCATTGTGCATGTGGCAGGGCTCAGGGTGCATTGCAGCAGGTGGTCAGTGGTTTGCTCTTCTCCACACTCGCATGACGTGGATTCCACTTTGTGGCCCCATTTCTTGAGGCTGGCTCTGCATCTCGTGGTGCCAGAGCGCAGTCTGTTCAGCACCTTCCAAGTCGCCCAGTCTTCTGCGTGCCCAGAGGGGAGTCTCTCATCTGGTATCACCCACGGATTGAGGTGCTGGGTTTGAGCCTGTCAGTTTTGGACTCTCGCTTGCTGAGGTGTTCCATCGAGTGTCTCTGTAGATCTTAGAAAACTATTTCTTGATTTAAGTCATTGACGTGCTGGCTGATAAACAAACAAGGGATGGGCTGGAGATGTCACTGCCTTGGTCCTTACACTATTGGCTGCTACTTCCCGGCGGATGTCAGTCAGGAGGTGCAATACCGGCTAAGCAGTGTAATTTCTCCAGTGGTGTAGGGCGCAGACACCCCATGATAATATGGCATGTCTCATTAAGAGCCACATCCACTGTTTTAGTGTGGTGAGATGTGTTCCACACTGGGCATGCATACTCAGCAGCAAGGGCAGATGTCTTCACTGTGTCTGGTTGTGATCCCCATGTTGTACCAGTCAGCTTTCGTATGATATTGTTTCTAGCGCCCACTTTTTGCTTGATGTTCAGGCAGTGCTTCTTGTAGGTAAGAACACGGTCCAGAGTGACTCCCAGGTATTCGGGTGTGCTGCAATGCTCCAGGGGGAATCCTTCCCAGGTGATCCTCAGAGCTCGGGATGCTTCTCTGTTCTTGAGATGAAAGGCACATGTCTGTGTTTTAGATGGATTAGGGATCAGCTGGTTTTCCCTGTAATAGAGAGTAAGGGCACCTAGAGCTTCGGAGAGCTTCTGTTCTACCATCTCAAAGCTCCCTGCTTGAGCAGTAATGGCACGATCATCAGCATAGATGAAGCTCTCTGTCCCTTCTGGCAGGCAGTGGCTGGTCATTTGTGTAGATGTTGAACATGGATGGGGCAAACACACTTCCCTGAGGCAGGTCGTTAATCTGTTTCCGCCATCTGCTTCTCTGGCCCTGGAACTCAACAAAAAAGCTCCTGTTTTGTCGCAGGTTTCCTATGAGGCGGGTGAGGTGGTTGTCCTTGGTGATATTATACATTTTTCTCAGGAGGAAGTAGTGGTTCACAGTATCGTAACAGGTCTATGAAGACAGCTCCTGTGATCTGCTGCCTTTCAAAGCCATCTTCTATGTGCTGAGTCAGGTTCAGCACTTGGCCGCTTGAGATGCTACTTGCCGACGTGAGATTGTGTGTGTGTGTATATATATATATGGCATCCCTACTTTGCATATTTTCACTTTTCGCGGGTGGTCCTCATGGAGATTTCCCAGAATGGCAATAATCTTCCACTCATTTGTGGGGCCTGTACGACTCCCATCCTTTTGTGTATTTCTGTTTCTATTTCTACATTTATTGGTTAAAGCCATACCGATGTTGAGGGTGCAAAGAGGACGCACATGTTTTCTCAGAGAATGTCTTGGTATATCAAGTTATTAGGGCTGGGCAGTTTCGTTCGTTAATTTTGTAATTCGTTATTAATTTGTATTTAAATTAGCTTATGATCCGATATTGAGCCATGCAGGAGCAACTAAAAATCGAAACGAATTTTTCAATTCATTTCGTAATTGTTTCGTAATTGGTTCGAAATCGTTTCGAAATCGTTTCGAAATTGTTTCGTTATTATTTCCGTATGTCTGGTGCAAGTTTTATAGTTGTTGTTTGTTTTATCAGTGATAAAACAAATAAATTATCACACCAACAGTCCACAACAGAGGGAGAGGGAAGCTTCAGAAGTTCCCCCTGTCCCACTTGGAGGTTTTTTTAGCGTATTGCGCAATCGCATCCGCCATTAACGAATCAATTCGAAATTTACGAAATTTCGTAAATAACGAATTTTTTTAAAAGAAAAATTTGGAATTCTTTTAAAAAACGAAACGCAATGGACCCCCTAAAAACGAAACGAGTTTAGAAACAAATTTTTCCATTGTTACCCAGGCCTACAAGTTATCTTTCTGAAAGCAACGGAGAACCACATTTGGATTTTTTGCATTATGGGAATTTTTTTTCTACAAAAAATTGTATCCAATATCTATCTCTTGCAGTAATAATTTTAAGTAATTCCAGTTAACTTTATCACAAGCTTTTTCCGCATCTATAAATAGTAACGCCAGTTGTTTTTCATTGTGCTTTTTGTAATATTCAATTGTATCTAAAAGTAATGGAGAACCACATTCGGATTTTTTGCATTATGGGAAAAAAAATTTACATTTTTTTTATTTGCAAACAAATGGATTTGTGCCCAGAAAACTATTTTTTGCAGCAGACATTTTTCCACACTAAAATCTAGATCTTTTTTTTTTTTTGGTGCTCGTGAAATTTTCACACAAAAGTTTATAAATGTAAAAAAAGAATGAAACTCTATCCCAACAGATGAAAAGTTGTCATATTCTTTGAATCTTGAGGATAAAAACAAGGGAAGGTTTGGTGTCTGTATCCGTCTAACGTTTTCTGCCCTACATGCATAGTTTGTACTTTCTGCATTGAAATCTAGATTTTTTTTGGTACTCATATGAAATTTTTACCCAAAATATATAAATGTAAAAGAATATATGATAAATTTGGTCCTGATCCATCATTGGTTTGGGTCGCAGTGGTCTCAGGAAGTGAGTGAAGGTACTGCATCTCCCATCATCCATTGTCCATCCTTTCCCAAACTGCACCAGGATGTAAAGTGGGTCATGGGGGGTCTGTGTGGCAAGTTTGGTTCAGGTCTGTGATTTGTTGGGGCCACAGTGTTATGTGGGAAGTGAATCAGATTAAGGTACTGCAAATCCCATCGTCCATGGTCCACCCTCCTCCAAACTTCACCAGGGCGTGAGGTGGTTCATGGGGGTTATGTGTGTCAAGTTTGGTCCAGGTCCGTCATTCATGCTGGTCCAAGTGGTCTCATGGAGTGAGTGAAGATACTGCAAGTCCCATCATTGGTGGCCAATCCTTCCCCAAACCACATCAGGATGTCAAGTGGTGGGCATCACAGTGGTCTGTCCCCCAAACTTCACTGGGGCATCAGGTGGTTCATGGGGGTTATGTGTGTCAAGTTTGGTCCAAGTCCGTCATTCAGGGGGTTATGTGTGTCACGTTTGGTCCAGGTCCGTCATTCATGTGGGTTATGTTTGTCAAGTTTGGTCCAGGTCTGTCATTCATGCTGGTCCAAGTGGTCTCATGGAGTGAGTGAAGATACTGCAAGTCCCATCATCGGTGGCCAGTCCTTCCCCAAACCACATCAGGATGTCAAGTGGTGGGCATCACAGTGGTCTGTCCCCCAAACTTCACCAGGACATGAGGTGGTTCATGGGGGTTATGTGTGTCAAGTTTGGTCCAGGTCCGTC